TAATAAATGATGTATTTGTGAAACATATAACTGTCTTGTTTTCCTAAATAACAATCCAACAAAACATTTGTTAAAATACTTTTTAAATAATTGTATCCATCTGATCTGAGTATTCATCAACAATCTCATACTAATGTTAAATCATTGTATTTTTTAGCTTTTTTTTTGACCAATAATGTACAGGTTTTAAACCAATACTGAATTATGTTTACTCTTACTCTATTTCAAACAGTATTTTATAAATAAATCATCCCGATAAAAGTTATGTGAAAATTAATCTTATATGATGCTTCTAGATTTTTCAACCCTTCACAGGAGAAAAAAATGTAAGTACAAAGAAAACCTATTGCATTGTTGTTTTTCCACTCTCAAGATTATTTTAATAGTTTAACACAAGTTGGCAGTTTACATATATAAAACTAAATTCAGGGCAATTTCTGTAACAGTTTGATGCATTAACAGCACAAACCAGGTAAGTTTAAAATGTTAATTGTGTTACAAGTATTTCTGTTCATGAATTACATTTTTTAACCAGTTTTTTTGCTACCACTAATCAGTTCTCTTTATGTGTGAATTTTCTACCAAACTATTAGCTAGACGGCTATGTTATTTCATGACAATAATTTAACATAACCCACTTTCTAACACTTAAACTGATAAAGAACACAGAATATTAAAACAAATTCATTATGATAAAAGGCGTTTCTCAAAATATCATTTTATTTTGCTTTATATTTAGAGTAGAATTTAGTGTCAAGACTGGCCATGTTGGTTCCTATGTCAGTGTACTAACTATACTTTTTGTAACATTTTAACAGTTTAAGACTAACTGTGTCAAGACTGGTCAATACACTGACCTAGGAACCAACATGACCAGTCTTGCCACAGTTAGTCCTAAACTGTTAAAATCTTACAAAAAGTATAGTCAGTACACTGACCTGGGAACCAAAATGACCAGTCTTGCCACAGTTAGTCCTAAACTGTTAAAATGTTACAAAAAGTATAGTCAGTACACTGACCTGGGAACCAAAATGACCAGTCTTGCCACAGTTACTCCTAATCTTTTAAAATGTTACAAAAAGTATAGTAAGTACACTGACCTAAGAACCAACATGGCCAGTCTTGACACAGTTAGTCTTAAACTGTTAAAATGTTACAAAAAGTATAGTCAGTACACTGACCTGGGAACCAAAATGACCAGTCTTGCCACAGTTAGTCTTAAACTGTTAAAATCTTACAAAAAGTATAGTCAGTACACTGACCTGGGAACCAAAATGACCAGTCTTGCCACAGTTAGTCTTAAACTGTTAAAATGTTACAAAAAGTATAGTCAGTACACTAACATAGGAACTAACATGGCCAGTCTTGCCACAGTTAGTCTTAAACTGTTAAAATGTTACAAAAAGTATAGTTAGTACACTGACATAGGAACTAACATGGCCAGTCTTGACACAGTTAGTCTTAAACTGTTAAAATGTTACAAAAAGTATAGTTAGTACACTTACCTAGGAACCAAAATGATCAGTACACTGGCCTGGGAACCAACACGACCAGTCTTGCCACATTTAGTCCTAAACCTGGGAACCAACATGACCAATCTTGTAACAGTTAGCCCTAAACTGTTCAAATCTTACAAAAAGTTTAGCTATATTTTCTGTAACATTTTAACAGTTTAGGGCTAACTGTAAAGTCCAAGAAAAGTAGCAGCAATACAAGATGGACAATAATAATAAAATACTTAGTTACCCAAAAAACCTTTTACAAAAACAAAATTGTGAGTTACTCATGCAAAACTTCACGAGACATGGTTGATAACCTGAGTTACTGTTATACATACTGAGTAACCATCCTTCCTCTGATGACTTCCAAGTGACGAAGAAAGGCAAGGTTTTTAAAGTCTGGATGCTTGGCCTGAATACTGATGTATTCAGTGACTTCCCGAAGCGTATTAAAAATATCCAATTGCTTTGGATGCATTTCTCGATACAAAGGTCCAAGGGTATTGCTAAGAAAATATATAAATTAATATAATACAAGAGAAAAAACACAAAGCTGTCTTTAACTATAAGACAGTTCTGATAATCATGGTAAAAAGTGAATTATGAAGAATGGGATAGTAATTTTAATTTCATTACACAACAATATAATCATACAATTTCTCCTGAGAATCAACCTCAAATACTTACTTTGGAAATATCTCTTGAAAACCTGTAAACGTGCTGTCTAGGATAGTAAGAGAGCCTTCAATGACTGTACAACCACGGAAGGAATCTATATTTCCAGCATGGACAAAGTTACTCACACCTTTACAAGCTAGAGGGATGGACAATGTTGTATATATAGATATGCTTTTTCAACATCACATAAGTAAGTTAAATCAAATGTTTTTAAGGGTTATTTAAATGTAGAAAATTCTTCCTGCTTTAGAGTCAAGTGTTAATAAGTTGCAAAGGTCAAATTAAAAGTTCTCTTATTATTGTCTGGAGTGTAAAGGTCATTTTCATAATCTAACCTTTTTTTATCAAAATGTGTAAATCTCTTTAGCATGCATTAAAAATTTTGAAAAACAGTTTAATAAGGGAAAAACACACATCCAATCAAATCTCAGCATCAAATATAAATGTGGTAATAGTATCAACAATGCACTCTAATAAGATAAAACACAGGACAGTCAAATCTCAGCATCTAGTATACATTATGCAATTATGCATATAAAAATATAATATTTAATAAGTAAAAAATGCAGGCTAATAAAATTGCAGCAATATGTACAGATTAGCACTGGCAGATCTGGGGTATGTTGAACTACAACCCCCCCCCCCTTCTCGTTTGAACATAAAGATTATTTCCTGTTCCCTGAATTAACAGTTAGTTTTCTCACTTTATTCTTCTTTATTTGTTGCCAAATCTTGGTTTGTTTCATTTCATTTATCTGTAAACCAAAACCTGTATTTTTATTGTAACCCTTCTTTTCATTATTCACATGCTATAATCCTCAATTTTTCCTGTTAGTGCCTTGACACACTGCACTTGCAACACTGAGGCATGAATGTGAAAAGGATGAAACAGATAAATATCTAATGAGACAACTGCAAAGTGATTAGACTGAAAATTAGAGATTGGTGATGATGAGGATTCCTTCAAATATTGCGACTGATAAATATATCCATACAGAATCGCTTCATGCCAAGTTTCAGTTGTTCCTGGAACTGATTGTTAATAATATAAAAAATAAATAATACTTATAAAATAAAAAATGTATTTTCTCCTCATTCCTGTCTGTGTTTAAAAAATTAAATAGGGAAAAAATGATTTTTGTAGGAATAAAAAAAGTAAACAAATAAGCAGCTAATTTCACTATTCCAACCTTTGGCTAGTTTTAATAATTTATTTTTCACAATATATATATATAATTATATTAATAAACAAAAATAGCGTAAATATTACACAGCATATCCAAACCTTAGATGAAAAGTAATTGATTGTAATATTATGCAGAACATGGAAAAAAAAAAGAAACAGCTACCAAACAGAGATGTATCACCTGGACACACACACCATACAGTGGGTAGTTATGCAATGTGCTCGGGTTTATGAGGTACTGGTTGAAGTAAGACCCAGAACACCCACATCTGCTCTTTTTCTTATTAAGAATGTGAGGCCTGTGAAACTGAGGTTAAACTGGATAGACAAGGCAATTTGGGTCTTACATCTGCCAGTACCTCAAAAACCAGAGCACATTGCATAACTACTCACCTTATGGTGTGTGCCCAGGTGGTACATATCTCTTTTGTAGCTGTATCTTTTTTTTTTTTCATGTTTTATGTAATACTACCATTAATTAGATATATTCATCATCACACATTTGAACCTGAGACCTGCCCCACACCACACAAGTGATCTATCAACTAAACTAAAGAGTTAACCCCTTAGAAAATTCTAGAAAGTCCTTTTTTTAACAATTCAACCTACTAAAGTGATACATATTTCTGTTGTCTCTAGTTTTGGATAAAAATGCTTGTTAAAACAGTTATCCCTTAAAGATTTTAATACAACCTTCAATCTTTGCATGCATTTCATATATGGTATAGCAGTTACTAAAACAATGATGCCTGTGTAACAAGAACATCTATACTGATGACTGTATGTCTACTTGTGTTTGTGTGTATTCCATTTATCTTTTGTCACTGTTTGAAAAGTAAGCAGTTTTGTGCAAGAAAGAGTAATTTTTTTCCCTCCCTAAATACTAAAAGCCCATAAGCTCCTTGGGGCTTTGCCCCCTGGACCTGCTAGACCCTGCCCTTTCATTAACAACATAAATAACCAGTATAATTTAGTATTGGGACAGGGTCCATTACATTCTACATCACTGCTTTCTTATTTGTGGTGGTGGTGGTGGGAGGGGGTAAGATTGCATATCACCTCACATTAATCATATAAATACTTAGAAGAGCTTACTTTTGGGACAGGGTCCATCACATGGCACACATTCACCATTCACCTCTTTTTTATAAGGAAGACAGGATCGTACACAGGCTCCATTGTCTCTCAGCAGGTGGTCTAAGAGATTGAAACAGTGTAATTAAAACTAGGTTTATGTTAACAGTTGTTTGTGTCCAAAGACTACTAATCCTACCATTGGTTTAATATTGAAATTATTGCATACTTTTATTAAAACAATGTCAGTCTAGTGGAATAAAACTGAATCAAGAGATCTTGTATTTCTATAATGTAAAATCTATTACTATAGCCGTGTCAAAAAACAATAAAAGTCAACATTTTTTAACCACAAACTTTTATACCTAATCAAATCATATTTACACATTTTTAAAGTTTTTTTTTTTTCTCGATTCCAGAAGATTTAGAAAATGAATTTATAAAAGACTAGAAAACATAAAAAAAAATAAAGAATTTTAACAGTTAACTGAGGTCTCCAGACAAAACACAAACTTATGTGGAAAACACTATTTGTTTCTCTTGAAACAAAGTTTTAGCAATTTGGCTTATGCTATTAAAATCCATAAAATTAATTCAAACCTGACAAAATAAGCTAATAACCATATGCAAAATAAAACCAAAATAAAGACATGTAAACTTGTAATTGACTAGTTAACTATAAAAATACAGTACCGTATTTATTTGAAGCTATGCTAAAACTTAAGTGTTTTATGAAAAATCTAGGTTATAAACTTTAAAAAAAAACTTACCTGGACAACTTTTCACACATATATCTCCATAAGCATACTTTCCATCAGGATTGACCTCCCATGAATAAGTGGACGGATTATAACGCATCATTGGTGGACACTCTTGTTTACATACTCCACTGTCATTAAAGTTCTGACAAGCCTACAGTAATTAATAATTTTTAGGTTTCTAACCCTTATTTCAGACTCTTAATGTGGTATATAGTGTGACAGTCATGTATTTATACTATTTCTACAAAAAAAGGTGAAGATGGAAAAATAATTATTTATTGTCTTTCTCTTTCTTCATACATCAAGACGGAAAGAGAAGTCTATTAAATACTAAAATTTAATTCTTAATTAGACAGTAAGTGGACAGTACACATTTTCCGTCCTGTTCTGTATAATATGGTGTGTTGATGTACATCTTGTTTCTCTGTAACTAAGGCTAGACAATACGTGGACAGTACACATCCTGTCCTGTTCTGTATGATATGGTGTGTTGATGTACATCTTGTTTCTCTATAACTAAGGGTAGACAATGAGTGGACAGTACACATCCTGTCCTGTTCTGTATGATAGGGTGTGTTGATGTACATCTTGTTTCTCTATAACTAAGGTAGACAATGAGTGGACAGTACACATCCTGTCCTGTTCTGTATGATAGGGTGTGTTGATGTACATCTTGTTTCTCTATAACTTAGGGTAGACAATACACATCCTGTCCTGTTCTGTATGATATGGTGTGTTGATGTACATCTTGTTTCTCTATAACTTAGGGTAGACAATACACATCCTGTCCTGTTCTATATGATAGGGTGTGTGGATGTACATCTTGTTTCTCTATAACTAAGAGTAGACAATGAGTGAACAGTACACATCCTGTCCTGTTCTGTATGATAAGGTGTGTTGATGTACATCTTACGGTTCTAGTGGTGTATAAAAATCTAGAGGTTACTACAAGTAGTGGTGTAT